CTCCAGTCACAACTCCCAAACTCTTGCCCTTGACCTCCAGATCTTGGAGAACAGCATCTCCTATGAGAAACTCAAAGCAAAGGAGGCCTTGGAGAAGGAAAAGAAGAAGGTGCAGGACCTGGAGAACCGCTTAACCAAGCAGAGAGAGGTAGGAGTCTCGGTTGGCAGTAGGGGTTCAAATCCTCCCTCTGCTCCCCTCTGGCTGTGGGACATCAGGGAAGTTACTTACCATCTCTGTGCAAGGGTCAACCTCTTTGAGCTATCACGTGACTTCCGTGTGCACAGAGAACACACAGGAAATTGCTGTGGGTAACAAGCACCCCATGCAGGCCACTTGTAGTATGAGCACAAGCGAAGGCACAGCACAAACCCAGGACCCCAGACCGTTCGTCTTCAGCCCCCTCCCCCTCCTGTGTGCCAGGCTCCCAAGGGATAAAAGACGTATCAGACTGCGGACGGCACACTTCACACTTCTGATCACTCTTAATCACCTCTGATCCCCTCAACATCAGTTTGAACCCAATCTTGCTGGGCAATTGGTCACCTTCACCCCCAAAACCCAGACTCACCGCCTGTGAGAGCTGGCAGTTAACAGTAGCTGCTCGGTAACTCACAAACCATAGACATCATTAGCTCCTCTGGGTCTCCATAGTGCAAAACACTCACATACATGCACACACACACACACACACACACACACACACAGAGCAGTTGCACGCCTGTCATCCTGACTACTCAGGAGGCTGAGATCTGAGGATCAAGGTTCAAAGCCAGCCCAAACAAGAAAGTCCATGAGACTCTCATCTCCAAGTAACTACCAAAAAGCCAGACATGGGGGTATGGCTCAAGAGGTAGGGCACCAACCTTGAGCAAAAAAAAAGCTAAGGGACAGCACCCAGGCGCTGTGTTCAAGCCCTGATACTAGCATGGGGGTGGGGGGAGAAAGCAAAAGAAAAGGCAGTTGGCAAATGCACAGCCTGGCTGTCGTGGGTTAAGTTCAAACAGAGGTAAAACTTGAAAGACTCGCTAGGGCCAATGGGGACCAAACGGGTCTCGAACTCTTTTCATGTCCACCTTGGGCCATTTTCTTTGAAGAAAGCTTCCCACACATCAACATGTGCAGCATCTTAGGGAGGAGATTGGGGGGGCCCTCACTGAGCCCCCCACGTCTGGCTTTAGGAACTGCAGGCACTCTACCTCTTGAGCCACACCACTAGCCCCATTTTTGCCGTGGGTATTTTAAAGGTAGGGTCTCCCTTTACACTTTTCACTGGAGATGGCACACCCGGCCTCCCTGACTAGAGCATGAAGGCACTTGCCACATTGATCCAGAAGAAGAAAGACTTAATAACCCTCCTCTAATATGTAAAGGGCTGACACATAGAGAAATCAACCTCCAGAGCTCCAGATGACAGATCTGAGTTAGGAGACAGGAATCTACAAAGAGGCAGATCATAGCTGAAGAGAAAGAAGGCTTGTGCAGTACCTAGAACCTAGTTCAAAAGACATACACGGGCTTTGGATTTAAAAGGGATGAACAGAATCTGGGCACTGGCAGCTCACACCTGTCATCCTAGCTACTCAGGAGGCTGAGATCTGAGGATCACAATTCAAAGCCAGCCTCAGTAGGAAAGTCCATGAAACTCATCTCCAATTAACCACTAGAAAAGCAGAAGTAATGCTGTGGTCAAGTGCTCACCTTGAGCTGAAGAGCTCAGGGACAGTGCCCAGCCCAGAGTTCAAACCCCACAACTGACAAGAAAAAAAGAAAGAAACGAAGAAAGGAAAGAGGAGAGTTTGTACGTCCCCTCTGATGACAGGGGTCAAGGCAGGAAGTGCAAATATCTAACCCTGAATTGTCTGTAATTGTGGTGCCCGTTGTTTGTCTAGGAGATAGAATTGAAGGGTCAGAAAGAAGACATCTTAAATAATAAATTAAGTGACGCACTGGCCATGGTGGAAGAGACTCAGCAAACAAAGACAGTGGAAAGTCTAAAAGCGGAAAAGCTCTCCCTGAAATTAAATGAGACGCTAGCCGAACTGGAGACCGCCAAGACAAAAATGGTATGGGGCACCGGAAACGGTAAGGTCTTGCTGGGAGCGAGGAAGGCCGCAGCGTCCTGGGCCCACCTTTGCCAGGGCCTGCTCGGCCTCAGCCCGGTGGCATTCTGGGCCCGATGACACGTATCAGGAGCTGTCCTGCATGGGGGACAAGAATGAGCACATCCCTGGGCCACTGCCCATGGAATGCCAGGGGCCCTCCTCCCCCCACCCCAATCCTGACCGACAAAAATAGCTTCAGAGCCAAGCATTGGTGGTTACGCCCGTAAGCCTAGTCACTCAGGAGGCAGAGATCTGAGGATTGTGGTTCAAAGCCAGCCCAGGCAGGAAAGTCCTTGAGACTCTTATCTCCAGTTAACCACCAAAGAGGCAAAAGTGGAGCTGGCTCAAGTGGTAGAGCCCCAGCCTTGAGCAAAAACAAAAACAAAAACAAAAAAACAACTTAGGGACAGCACCAGGCCCTGAGTTCAAGCCCAAGGACCGATGCAAAGTTGCTCCCAGCTGAGTACACTGGCTTGGAAAGAAAGGTACCTAGGGGCTGTGCTGCCTCCTCCAGGCCTCGTCAGATACAGCATGAGCTCCCCCCAGGCTCGGGAGGAGCGGGGATGCCCAGGCCACAGACTGTAATTCTGTCTGCTTTGGTTTGCTGAGCTAGGGATTGAGCCTAGCCAACTCTGGGCAAGTGCTCAATCACTTGAGCCATGCGTACCCCAGCCTTTTTGTTTGTGTTTTGATTTTGAGATGGGCCTTCACTCATTTTGTCCAGTCTGGCCTTAAACTCTCAATCCTCCTGCCTCTGTCTCTCCAGTCGTTGTACTCTCAGTGGTGATAAAGACCTCAGAGACAATAAACCCCATGAAACAGAGTGTACCTCAGAGCGATCTACTAGGTAGGTGATCAGAAGGACCTCCTCAAGGAAGTGATGCCAGAACTGAGACCTGAAGATGAAAAGGGGTCAGCCATGTAAGGAGGGTGGGAAGGAGTATGTCAGGTAGGGGAAACAGCCTGTGCAAAGGCCCCGTGGCAGAACCTGATTTAGAGCCTGTGAGTGCACCAGAGGCAAATTGCTGCTGTCTTTGTGTCAGCTCAAACCCAGGATCACGAAGTACTTGCACTGTTTTCCCAGATCATGATGGAGGAGAGGCTGCGGCTGCAGCAGCAAGCCATGAAGGCGCTTCAGGACGATAGGGAAGCCCAGAAGCATGGATTTGAAGAAGAAGTCCTGGAATACAAGGAACAAATCAAACAGCACTCGCAGACGATCGTGAGTCTAGAGGAAAGACTCCAACAGGTCACGCTGCAGCATAAGAAAATAGAAGTGGAGATTGCCACCCTGAGGATCAATGACCCAGGTAGGCTGAGGGGTAGGGTACCATGGTACCCAGGCCAGGGAAGCTCCATGACACACCTCCCCAGGACTGACAGAGAGAAAGGCTGGAACTCACTTACAGACTCACTCCTGCCAGGCATCCGTGGCTCACGCCTGTAATCCCAGCTACTCAGGCTGAGTCTGAGACCTAAGGATCACAGTTCAAAGCCAGCCCAGGCAGGAAAACCTATGAGACTCTTATCTCCAATTAACCATCAAAAAACCAGGAATGGAGCTGTGGCTCCAGTGGCAGAGCACTAGCCTTGAGCTTAAACAGCTCAGGGACAGTGTCCAGGCCCTGAGTTCAAGCCCTTAGAACAGGCACAAAAATAAGAGAGAAAGAGAGAGAAAGGAAGGAAGGAGGGCAGGCAGGCAGGCAAGAAGATAGGAAGGAAGGAAGGAAGAAAGGAAGAAAGGAAGGAAGGGAGGAAGGACCAAGCACAGAGGACAGCACTGTTAGAACTTGGTGAGCCCCCTGCCAGCGGTGTGCCACCTCCAGTCTTATCTATAAATAGTGTTAGTGATCCCCACCATGCTGGGTGTCAGGAAGTTTCACGGCCTCGATTGGTCTGTGTTGTGTTGCCACTAACACACCGGGCAGTTCTAGAGGTCCCAGGTAAGGGGCGGTGATAGCCAGGACATGAGTCAGGAGGAGGCGCAGGTATCACATGGTGAGAGAGTGAGGTTCTGGTCTCTCCTCCTCCTCCTCCTCCTCCTCCTGATAAAGCCACAGGTCCCACCATGGGACTACATGCTGATGGCTTCATCTAACCCCAATCTCACAGACACACACACACACACACACAGGTGTGCGCGCACGCGCGCGCATGAGCGCACGCCTACCTTGGAGCTCCACAGGGGGATTGAGTTTCCAGTTCTGAGTCCTTCACCGTGGTGGGCTGGATTTTAGCGAGCATCTGGGAGACAGGAGCCATGTGAAGACCCTGGCATCCCAGCAGACAGAGACTCACGTGGGGCCCTGGGGGACCGGAAGGGCCCGGGGCAGGAAAAGTCAGAGGCTATGAGGGATGGTGTTCATAGGCGGAGGGGGAGAGCGCCCTCTGCCTGTGTGCCAGGGTGCTGCTGTGTCTCCCCCTTGCAGGGCCAAAGGAGGAGGCGCCCCAGGAGCCCCTCATGGCTCCCGTATTGCAGGAGAGCGGCAAGGAGTTGGTGTGTGACAACTTGATGTGAGTACCAAGGGCCGGGGGCACCCCACGGCACCCTGGGGAATAAGCACATGACCAGAGCCAGAGACTTAACGCCCAGGAAAGGAGCTGAGTCCCCAGTTTTCTGTGTCAGTTAGATTCCTTGTGTCCTCTAGCGAGTCAAAACTGTGTACGGTGGGCCTGTGTTCAAATCCTGCCTATGGACAGGGCCTAGCACCACCCCTGCTGACTGCCACCCCGGAGGAGTCCGGCCACCTCCCCGGGCCAGGCGCTAGACTGTCGTGATGCCCTCCGGGGTCTCCTCCGCCATCCCTGTACCCCCATTGTCTAGACCCCCATGGCGCTCCCCCATGGCGCTCCCCAACCTCACCCATTCACAGCCTCCCGGCTCCTTAACCGGGGTCCAACTGATGTGGGGCGTGCACAAGCCACACTGTCCCCCCTCCTCTTCCACCCTGAGAGAAGTGCTGATCCACCCCCCTCCCCCCCGCGGCCTTCTGTTCTCTTTCCACCAAAAGCCCACGGGTGTCTCGCCCCGTGCTGACAGACCCAAGCACACAGGCACGCTTCTTCACACCAACCCCACCTCGAAACCGTTGTCATTGTCACTGTTTTTGTTTTTATGCCATCCTGGGGCTTGAACTCAGGGCCTGGGAAATGTCCCTTAGCTTTTCCACTCAAGCCACAGCTCTACTGCTGGCTTTTTGCTGGTTGTTTGGAGATACGAGTCTCACAGACTTTCCTGTCCAGGCTGACTTCAAATCGGTGCTCCTCGGATCTCAGCCTCCTGAGTAACTAGGATTACAGCTGTGAGCCACCAGCTCATGTGGCTTTTCATGAAGCCAAAGGAAACAAGTTTACCTCCGAGAGGTGTTAAAGGCCATTCTTGGCTCTGCCTTCCTCGGGGTCCCTTGGACCACAGTCAGGGGCAGGGCATCACTCTTCCCCCACACGGGCCGCTTGGGAGCCAGCGACGCTGGCTTGCTCTGACCTGCACTGTGCTGTGAGTTTCAGAGATGACTTGCTGCTGGCTCAGAAGGAGATCCTGTCTCAGCAGGAGGTCATCATGCGCTTGAGGAAAGACCTCAACGAAGCCCACAGCCGCATGTCAGACCTGAGAGGTTTGTCCCAGCTCCACGCTCTTCACAGCCTACCCATTCCATTCGGGAAAGAAAAGAAATGAGGCCACAGAGGCGGCCATTTGGGGCCCTGCTGTCCTGAGCACTCAGCAGCCTGGGCAGGACAAGGCCCTGGTTCCCACCACCAGCCCTTGGGGGGAGGAGAGGGGGATTCTCCAGGCTGCCTTCTGCCCAGGATTTCTGGGGTAGGGGGCTGGAAGGGGGGCCTTGGACAGGGCAGTCGGCAGGACTGGGCACTTGGCAGTGCAAGGGAGGTTCTCCCAGCCTCCTTTGCCCTGGGGGCATGAAGGGGGGGTCGGGACCCCTGCTGCCAGGGTCGATCTGAACGTAGTGGCCACGCAGGGTAGGGGTGAAGAAGGCCAGATGGTGTGTGTGAGAGAGAGACAGAGACAGAGACAGTACTAGGGCTTAAACTCAAGGCTTGGCTGCTGCCCCTCAGCTTTGTCCCTCAAGGCTAGCGCTCTACCATTGGAGCTGCAGCTCTGCTTCCAGCTTTTTGATGGTTAATTAAAGGTAAGAGTCTCCCGGGCTGGCTTCAAAACTCTTCCTTCGGATCTCTGTGTCCCACGTAGCTAGGATTATAGACGTGAGCCCCCGGCCCCCGGCGCGATCCCACGTCTTACACAGACACGCACCTGGCCCGGCTCTCTGTGCCGCCTCTGCTTCCCTCCCTGCCTTTTCATTTCTGCCCTCTTTCTCTCTGTGACCACCTCCGCCTTCCTCTAGTCCCCAGCGAGACGAAAAGCACAGGCAGACAGAGACAACAAAACCCTTGAGCCAAAAGATGCACCACTGGCCAGGGTGGGCCCTGACAGTGCCGGCCGGTGCCCAGGGAGAGCCTCCCGACCCCCGACACCCCCTCCCCGGCACATGGAGAGGAGTTAAGGGTGGCCTGCTGCAGCCATGCTAAGACACAAGCAGAACTCTGGTGGGTACCAAGGCCCCCAGCACAGGCCCTAGGGAGCCCCCCCCATCAGCTCTCCTGTCACCCCCAGGGGAGCTGAGTGAGAAGCAGAAGATGGAGCTGGAGCGATATATGACCATGGTCCAGCAGCAGAGCAAGGAGCTGAGCATGCTCCGGATGAAGATGGTGCAGATGAGCAGCATGGTGGACAAGAAGGACAGGGAGATCAGGATTCTCAAGGAGGCACTCAGGTGCGGGGAGGGGGTGGCAGCGCGGAGCCAGGAGCCTCACGCAGGGAGAGGGCTGGGGAAGTGCTGCTGCTGCTTGAACTGAATGAGCGGATGGATGGATGGCATTGCTTCATGGTTCCCTCAATTGAAACAGCTATGCTCAGTTCTGTGCTCCCAAAACACTGCTGTCGAGTATCCCAGAGGACCTGACTCCGCCCAAATGCCGCTTCCTCCAGGAAGCCCTCCTCACATACAAACCAGGGCTCCTGCCCTGCCTGGAACTCTCGGCCCCCTGTACTCCGCCTGTCCTACCTCTTACACATGGCAACGCCATGCCTGCCTGTTCAGCGGGTACAGAAAGTGCTTCATATTTATTAAACAAAAGAATGTGCCAAAGGTGTCAACTTAAACTAAATACCAAATAGTGTTGCCGGTGCCATTGGCTCACCTGAGTAGCTAGTGTTCCTAGCTTCTCGGGAGGCTGAGGTCTGGAGAATCCTAGTTCTAGGCCAGCTGGGACAGGAAAGTCTGTGGCATCCCATCTTCTATCGGGCAGCAAAAAGCTGGGCTAAGAAAGCCAGGCCTTGGTTCAAAACCTGATACTGACAAAGAAACATATAGTGTCATTGTCTCATGAACTAATCTTTTGTAAAATGTGAACTGGAGTCAGGTGCCAGTGGCTCAAACCTGTAATCCTAGTTACTCAGGAAGCTGAGACTTGAGGATCATGGTTTGAAGCCGTTCCAGTAAAGACGGTGAGACTCTTATCCCTAAATAAGCAGGAAAAGGCCAGAATTGGAACTATGGCTCAAGAGGTAGAGAACCAGCCTTGAGCCAGCTCAAGAAAAGTGCTCTCGAGCCCTGAGTTCAAGCTCCATGATCAACACCAAAAAAAAAGAGTGAGTTGGTTTTATCTATATTTCACAGATGTATCTATTTCATAGACATATATTACAACTTACCCATTTCATTCCTTGGCAGTGTTGGGATTTGAACTCAAGGCCTCATGTTTTCCAGGCAGGCACTCTTGCGCTTGGGCCATGCTCCTAGTCCAACTATTTATATTTTAACACAAGTGAATGTTTTCCAGAAAAAAAAAGTCTGAGCACAAGTGGTGCTTGTACATCTCTGGGCGTTTCATGTGCCTCGTGGCTTGTGGTCACACGTCACACCCTTCTCCTCACCAGACACCGCCACTACAAGCTCCAGGAGGCACCGCCCAATTGCCATGTGTCTGCTTGTCTCCAAATGGCAGGGAGAGTCTGACTTGCTGGGTTGCTTCCAGTCTAGAAGGACCAACATATACCCTGAGTCATACAGACATAACACCCAGACTGTAAAAGTCCCTTCATGGCTACAGCAGGTAGCCACAGTCTGAGAGCTCAAGGAAGGCCAAGTACCTGTCCCTTGCCCAGCCACTCCCCTATAACTGAGTTCAAATCCAGGACCAGGAGTCTCAGAGTCTCCTGTGAAGTCAGAGCTGGTCTGCGGAAGGGCAGGGAGGCTCTTGAGCTTCCTGCAGCTGCCTCCTGTGACATCCCTTCCCTATCCTAGGGCTTCCCAAGACAAAACCGTACTCCAGCTGAGCATGGAGAAGGACCCCAAGCCCCGCAAATCCACCCAGAAATGTGACATCTCCTTACAGATAGAACCTATCCACCCAGACGTGTTCTCCAGCAGCCAAGAGGTGAGTGTCGTGGGCTCCCACAGGACCCCAACAGGGGCAGCTTGCTTTCCCTCTGAAGTCTCAAAAGTTGTCACTTGCCTGGGGAAATGTAGAGAGAAAGACCTGCCCACTACGGGCAGAAGCAGGTGGAAGGGGCTGTCCTCAGAGCTTTCCTGGTGGAGAGCACCCTACCCAATACAGACTGCAATGAGCAGGGCTTGAGGGCCAGGCTTGGAGACAGCCTGCCTGGCATGGAGCCCCAATCCCCCCTCTTAGAAACCCTGTGATGACCTCAGGGCATTCACTGTGCCAGTTCCCTTGTCTGAGAGTAATGGCAGTTCCCACCTCATTGGAACCATTGAGCAATAAGTAAATCGTTTGTGTGTGTGTGTGTGTGTGTGTGTGTGTGTGTGTTGATTCTAGGGCTTGAACTCAGGGCCTGGACACTGTCCCTGAGTTTTTTCACTCAAGTCTAGTGCTCTACCATTTGAGCCACAGCTCCACATCTGGCCTTTTGCTGGTTAATTGGAGAGTCTCATGAACTTTCCTGCCCAAGCTGGCTTTGGACCCAATTCTCAGATCTCAGCCTCCAGAGTAGCTAGGATTGCAGATCTGAGTCACCAGCACCTGGCTAGGAACATACTTTGAATAGACTGAAAGCAGGACATCTCTGGGGACAGAATGATCATGATTTTCATCATCCTAGAACAAGTTTGTTTTTTTTTTAATGTAAGGGGCTTGGAACATTAAGTCCCTCCCCCAAACTGGTACCTGGGATACATTCTCTGTCCCAGGGTGAGGGAACTTTACTAGATTTCACTTGACTGGCTGCATTTGGCCGTGGTCTGCTGTCTGGGTGAATTATTTAAAGGTCTATTACCTCAGAATTCATCGCCTCCCCTTAGGCTGCAGGAAAGCCGGTCACTAACCCACAGACCCACCTTGATGGTCCAGGATTCGATGTGCCCTGGGGCTGACGATAAAGTTTCATTACAGTGCTCTCGCCAAGACCTTCTGGTCCATTCTCTATCTTTCTTCATTTCCCAGTGCTCAGGGCCAGCTGCCGCCTGCCACCCACACTCGACATTTAGGCTGCTTCTCTTTTCTCAGTAGCCTGTGATTGCTTCGATTACTATACTTGCACATGCGTAGAACACATCCCTACATGTGAGTCCAAAGGCGTTCCTGAATGGGTCTTCATCCAAACATCCATCCCAAAGAGCCACCCCCAGGCTGTCCTGGGGCTGTCCCGGAAGTCCAGCAGGGAGTGTCTACAGAGAGCAGCTTTCATCAAGCCATCCCCAACGCCACCCCCTCTGTCCCTGTGGCTGGTGCCTTGACATTTCCCATGATCCCTTGCCAGCAGATTGTGGAGTAGAGTGGTTCCTTGAGGCCCGGGCTTCCTCGAGCCCCAGACATCCCTTCCAGAGAGCATGACGTTCCAGGAAAAGGCTTTGGACTCTGGCTAGGAAACGGGGCCAAGTGTGTCAGCGAAGACACTTTCTCCTGCCAGGCAACCAAGAGCCAGGGCCACAGGCAGCTTAGACAAAAGGGCTGTCCCTGGCACTGAGTGCTGTCCAGAGCACTTTAACAGAAGAAGCTTCTGTTGCCCAGGGCAACCGCAGGGAGAAAGACTGAGAGGGTAGGAAGCTCCATGGGACAGGAAATGAGAGCCACTCCTGTGGAAATCTCAAGACCTTAGAGCAACACCTGACTCACAGGTACATTTCATCATTCAGCAATCACTGAGCGCCACTGGATGCCAGGCCTGGGGGCCTGACACAGGGAAATTGGTATAGGGTCTGCGCACTGATTGCAGAGCTGGGACACATGAGATTTGTGTATGTGTGTCTGTCTGTCTGTCTGTCTGTGTGTCTGTGTCTGTGTGTCTATGTGTGTGCCAGCCAGTACTGGGACTTGAACTCGGGGACTGGGCACTGTCATTTAGTTTTTTCCACTCAAGGTTGGCTCTATACCACTTGAGTCACAGTTCCACTTCCAGCTTTTGGTGGGTAATTGGAGATTAGAGTTTCATGGACTTTCCAGCCAGGACTGGCTTTGAACCATCCTCATATCTGGGCCTCACTAGTAGCTAGGATTACAGGCATGAGTCACCAGCACAGGCTTTGGGGATTTTGAGTTTCTATCCTGAGGTGGCTTTGTTTAGGAGGGTAGAGGCCTGAAGGCTTCAAGATAAAAGGAGCAAAGTATTTCTTCCTCTTTAGAATAACACCCTCCACTTCCTGTTTTCCAAGCTGGAGTGGGTCAGAGGGCTCAAGAGTTGTGTGAGAAAGTCTCCGTCCTCTCCAAAAAAAAAAGTTCCCAGAGGGATAGGAAGAAGGTCTCAGCATGGCAGCTTCCTCAGCAAGCTCAGGAAAGGCTGAAATCTTGCTGCCACATCTCTCCCAGGACCCCCCCTGAAGTCACCATCTCCCACCAGCTTGTATCCAGGCATGGAGAACATTTCAGGTGACAGGTGGCATTCCCCCAGGGTGGACAGACCCCTGGCTTCACAGTGATGGAGCATTGACTCTGTTCAGCACCCAGACTCTGCCTGGAAGACCAGTCCCCAGAGGAGTCAGGCTGTCCTGGGGCTGCACTGGATGGGGTAAATAGAAACTGATCAGTGCTGCGGAGTGTCCAGTGGGGACAAGCACCCTGAGGAGCCATGGGACAGGGTGTGGGGACCCCTGCCCCAGCATCGCAGTGGGGAGGGGCTCTCTGCAGGAGGAGACTGGACCAGAGCCAGTCAGGGGCTGGGTCATTCTCAGATGGCACAGATGAGCACCTTAAGGAGACCAGGGGGCCTCAAACCCCAGGCAGCCAGGATGGCTTGCCCAGGGTTTGTGAGTCACGAGAAGCTCTCGAGTCACCAGTGCCTGGTAGCAATTCTCAGTCTCTGAAGTCAGAGTGGCTACCTTCTTGTCTCTTGTCACCGTGTGCTCCATCAGAATCGAGTCCTCCGCAGAAGAGGCTGGCGGGTCTCTGGTGGGCTCATCTCACATCATGGCCTGGAATCCTGTCTACAAAGTATGAGGTGGTGGGCCAAGGAAACAGAGATGAAGAAAGGAGAAAGAGACAGAGGCAGAGACTCAAACGAAACATGCAGGAGAGAAGGAAAGAAGGAAGGAGAGAGGAAGAAACAGAGGGCAAAGGAGATAATAGGCAAGAGAGTAATGGATAATAAGAGAGGAGGGAAGGGGAGAATAAGAGAGATGGAGAAGAAAGGGAGAGAGGGAGAGGTAGACAATAACTAATGATAGATTGATAGATACATGCACCTATAACTGAATAAAGAAATAGAGATGGAGCCAGGCACTGGTGGCTCACACCTGTAATCCTAGCTGTTCAGGAGGCTGAGATCTGAGGATCGTGGTTCGAAGCCAGCTCCAACAGGATGTCTCCAATAATCTACTCAGAAAAAGCTGGAAGTGGCACTGTCGCTCAAGTGGTAGAGCATTACTAGCCTTGAGCACACAGAGGCTCAGGAACAGCACTCAGGTCCTGAGTTCAAGCCCCAGGACTGGCAAAGAAAAAGAAACAGAGATGGGAGCAGGGTACCAGTGGCTCACACCTGAAATCTTAGCTGCTCAGGAGGCTGAAATCTCAGGATCATGGTTCAAAGTTCATGAAACTCTTATCTCATGGCAGAGGAGGTATTGCTTCAGTGGTAGAACTCTATCCTTGAGCAATAAAGCTAAGAGACAGCGCCCAGGCCCTGAGGTCAATCCCCAGAACTGCCATAAAAAGAAAGAAAAGATATGTACAGCCAGACAGACATATCTAGCTATACAAAATTTTAATGATTTCAGTTCACTTCATAACTATATATGTTATCAGTATCGATCGCATAAAATGAACCAAAATTGCCATTTTAAAAATAGTTATAGAAGAACCAGATTGTCGATTTCTGCCCTTTCTTGCCAGTTTGGCTGAGGCCTACCCTAGCAACTTGTCTACAAAAGCAGAAACCACCCCCCCCCCCCCAGCACAGATCCCCCCTATCGCTTCTCCTCGTCTGTCTCCCCTGCTCATCTCCCTCATTGCCTGTCACCAAATTAGGACATCAAATCTGTGACACCAGAGAAGTCACAATTGAGCTCCCAGAACCTAGAACAAGGCTCAGCCCTCAGAAATGTTCACAAGTCTGTGTGCCATATGCCTATGACCCTAGCGATTCAGGAGGCTGAAGTCCAGAGGAGGAAGGCTCAAAGCCAGCTCAGGCTAGAGTCTGTGAGACCCCATCTCCAAAATAACCAGTGAAAAGCCAGGTTGGAGGTGCAGCTAAAGGGATAGAGCTCCAGCTAAGCAAGTAAGTTGAGTAAACATAAGGCCCTGAGTTCAAAGTCTAATACCAGAAAAACAGAGTCATCATGGAATAAATGAAAAGACGAATAAATGAATGAATTACGTATCTTGGAGTCTATGGTGGACTGCAGGGGTTCCTTGGACCTCTAAAAGTTAGATGTGAACATGCATATAGGAATTTTTCAGCTTTCTGCAGACCAGCCAAGAGCCCATTTGTCAAATCCCCTACGGAAAAAGAAGGCAGCCACCCCATGGCTAAGTTTATAACAGAACGTTGTGTGGTCTGGGCTGGAGCCAGGCTCAGTGGTAGAGCCCATACTTAAGCAGAGTCCTGAGTTGAGTCCAGTCCCCAGCACGACGAAAAGAATAGGAAAAAAAAAAAGTAGGTGAGCATGCCCCTCCAGAAGTAGAACTTGAGGGCGAGAGGCATGGCTCAAGTACAAGGGCATGAGTTCCAATCCTAGGACCACCAATAAAATACAAGACTTGCTCTGATTTGTTCATAAACAAGACCAGAAGGGTAACAAATAGGAACCTAGCACAGAAGAATATTAGAAGAAAAAACAAAGAAGACATAAAGAAGGAATGTGGAGGGATCTTTTATTTATAGCCATACTAAGTAGGCAGTAAAGTTAGAAATCTTCCTCTAGTGGGATCTGACACTTGGTGATGAAAAATTTAAATCCCTTCTCTGTGGAAGTCCTTATGATGTTTTCCAGAAGCATTAAATGGCACAGGCCCTGCTAGACAGGAATTGTTTATGCCTCTGTGAATATAAGAAAAGCATCTGCCAGATACCAGTGGCTCATGCTGATAATCCTAGCTACTTAGGAGGCTGAGATCTGAGGATCGTGGTTCAAAGTCAGCCCAGGCAGAAAAACCCATGAGACTCTCATCTCAAATTAACCATCAAAAAAACATTTGGAAATGGAGGTGTAGCTCAAATGGTCAAGCACCAGCCTTGCGTGAAAAGCAGAGAGTCTAGGGCCTTGAGTTCAAGCCACAGTACTGATGCATAAGAGAGAGAGAGAGAGAAAGCATCTAGGTTCCTGACCAGCTCTGTCTGTCACTGTTCCCAGGAACAATCCTTCAGCGACCTGGGGGCAAAGTGCAAAGGATCTCGCCATGAGGAAGTCATTCAGCGGCAAAAGAAAGCCTTGTCCGAACTCCGAATGCGGATCAAAGAATTGGAGGCCAGCCTGCCCAGTAAGTCTCCCTAGTCCCAGTGGGGCCCAGAGCCAGTGTGGCAAGGCCCCCACCTTTTCTCCCCCTCTCTCATAATCGGAAGGGCTTTCTAGTGCACAGAAAGAGGAGCAGGGCTGACCTCAATCCACTGTGGGCCTTCATGTTAAATAAATGGGACATCATGAAACACTCACCATTGTCCTCTTTCTTATTTCATGGTGGCCGGGTGGAAGCAGTTGTGATCTAAAGCTGCCCACGTATCAGCATTGGTACTGTTTGAGTTTGCAGAGGGACAGGGCTCCGTGAGCTTGGGGCTGTCAGGGAAGGCATGAGAAACTAGGTGCTTAGCTTCCAGTCCCTGTGGGTTAGAAGACCTGAGGCCAAGTTCACCCTCAAGGCTCTGGTGCTGACACTATGGCTGCAACCTATGGCCTTGGCCAAGTCAATTAATGCCTAGGCCCCAGGTTTCTCATCTGCCCAAGGCGATTCCCGAGGGTTTAAAACAGGGGCCTTTGGAAAATGTCCCATAAATCATAGCTCTGGTTTCTTACATGATAATAACTTCCTCCTGAGTCTAAATTATTTCTTTTATAGATCATAAGGACCACCTGAGTGAATCAGTTCTAGAATTAAAGCCTCTCAGAATGGAAAAAAACGTCCAGAAAATATTATTAGACGCAAACCCCGATTTGCCAGCTCTCTCAAGAATAGAGATACAAGCGGTAACCAAAAGCACATTTGTCTCTGCAGGGCCCGGCACATGAAGTGGGTGGGCTTCGGGGCAGCCACGAGCCACAGCCCTGGCACACAGCTCTATGGCTGTGCGGCTGTGGATTGGGGCCAGGACCTCCTTAAAGGGCAGGTGTGTGCTCTTCCTGAGGGCAAGTTGGGGGATGCTTGCTCTTCAAGGCGACTTCCATCTTCCACAACAGGATCCATCCTTGCTTTGACACTGGGCCAGATTCTCTGGCTAAAGCACCTGGCCCCACCCCCTTCCCCTTTTAGATCAAGTGTCACTTTCTGCAGCAAAGGTCCAGTAGGCTCATCTCTGAGCCATGAGTTTGCCAAGTCTTTCACTGTTAACTTATAAAGCCATGATCAATTAAGACATAGCAGGAAGGACCCACCATGGAGAGGAAGGGATAGTTCAGGGGTACCTGTGTCTAGACCCCCGCCTGAAGGTTGTATGGCCTTGGGCAAGGCTCTGGATTCATGGCAGTGGACAGCCAGGTCAGCATCTGTGCAGGAGGACCCACTGAGCACATTGTTACTGCCTCAGCTGGATCAAAGGCTTCTAGAAGAGACCACAAGTATAGCCTATCTGGTCCTATCTGTGCCCACACTGTCTCCGATGACTTCTGTGAACATTTTACTAGAGTCCAGGATGAATGTCTTCAGGAATAAGCTGATTTCTTGATAATATATTTGTGTGTGTGTGTGCAGGTGTGTATATATAAAATATATATATACATATATATATATACATACCTATCACCCCTTATTCTCTAAGGTTAACTGTGCAGGGATAGTCTCCAAACGGGAGGGGAGCTAGACCTCCGCTTCCCAGCCTGACCTTCAACCTTGGAGGTGATCTCGATCCCACGACTGACACCGCATAGCAGGAAACGTCCAACCCCTCTTTTAAAGAGGGGCCCCAAGGCCAGCAGTGACTGAAATTAAGGAGTGAAGGTGCAGAAGGAAGAATGGCTGGCACTGGCTGAGTGCTTGCTGTGTGTGGGACCATGAGCTGAGCTCTCCCACACATACCCACACCTCAGCCTCTTCATGGTCAAGGTCATTTTCCCCAAGCTGCAGATAAGAAAAACGGAGGCTTTGGGAAGTCAACGACCCCATCCCAGCCCTCAGTGATAGGGGATGGTAATTCTAAGCATGGAACCAGGCCTGGGTCCTCCCTGGTGGCCTGCCTCCTGCACATTGTTCACAGAGAAGCAGGAAAAGTAGGGGGAGGAATAGAGGGGAATTACTGAAGAGAAGTACAGAAGACTGGGCAGAGAGGATTGTGGACACCATGCTGCATTTTAGGTTCTTTTTGTAGCAAAGCTGCTCACCTTCTTGTTGCTTTAGAAGATCCTCTTTTATCCTCATCCTGACATAAGTCTCTCCCCTCCTGACCTAGATAAACACAGCTACTCTTACCCATCATGATCACCTTCAGCTTTTCTGTCTTTGTAAGTGGGGTTTCTCATGGTCATCTCAGAGTGTTACAGCAGGGCCGACAGAGGCTTCCGCTAAGATGTTCACTACAAGAAGTGGAGCTGTTGCTCAAGTGGTAGAGCACCAGCCTTGAGCAAAAACATCAAGCAAGAGTTTGAGGCTCCGACTTCAGCCCCAGTACCAGTGCATGTACACACACACACACACACACGCACGCACACACACACACGCACACACACACACACGCACGCACACACACACACACATATTCCCCGCATTCATGGCAAGTACTTGAAGCCTAGTTTGGTTCGAGGAGATTTATTTTGGTCGCTGGTGGTTCTCCCTACCCTTTCTGTGGCTTTCCCAGGCTTTTTTTGTGGCTTCCTCAGCCAGCTGGCTGGCAGCAGTCTCAGACACACCAGCTTCTGGCAGCTTCCAGCAGCTTCCAGCATCAGGAGCACATTTGACCACATAAGGCCTCATTTCAGCTCCACAGAAATAAGATCCTTCCTTTTATAGAAGAGGAGTGGTTTTCTAAGTAGTCATTCATCCATCTATCCATTCATTCCACCAACGTATGCTACTCTACCGGGTACACAGGAATGAGCTAGTGAACCCCCAGACACACAGTCCCATCTTGGGGAGTTCGTCACAGCGACGGGGACTTCTCAGAATTCCTCGTACTTGGTGACACATGGTTCCTGCCCAGTTTGGGTGGGGCACATTCTGTGAGATGTAGGGTATTTTAGTGTCATCCTTGACCCAGGGGTACCGATTCCACCTCCATCTTTACATGTGACACCCTAAAATGTGTCCAGACATTTCTAAAGGTCCTGGGGCAGGGGAGGGAAGACAGTCACCCCTGCTGACACCTGCAGTTCTGGAGGAGGCGAGGCAGTGGAGGAGGGGTCCCCCATGGCTGCCCGAAGGGTGGGACATAGTCCTAAGATAGCAGAGGACAAAGGAGTCATGCTGCAGGGTCAGGAATGGAATGGAATCTCTTCTCTCTCTTTCCCATACTCTCTTTCCCAGCTTCTGGCTGAAGGAACTCGTTATGATGGCATGCTGAAAGAGTCTGGATTTTTTTTTTTCTTTTTCTTTTTTATTTCAGTCCCAGAATGGCTACTCCAACTTAGGCTGCGGCTCTGTCATGGAGAAGTCAGGGAAATCGGAAGTGGCCGAGGCCTTAGATCTCAGTGAAAAGCTGGTACGTACAAGCACCATCAGTTTCCCCACCCCCTTCCACCTCTTCCTGCCCCACACCTGCTCCCCTAAGTTCACTGTTAACTCCGCCATCATTTACTAAGTACCAGCCTGGCAGACCTACTTAGTTGCTCTATTAATTCTGCGAGGCCCAGCATGGGTCATAAATTGCACAGCCAGATTCCTTGGGAAGCCGGGCAGCTAGACGAGTGTTTGGATGTGTTGTCGTTCTCTCTCCCTACTTCAAAGGCCTCCATGTACCCGGAGGTGGGGAAATGAGAGGCCCAAATGCACTCATTCTCAACGCCCCACCGCACTCTCTGGGGTCGCAGACAATGAACCACATAGACTTAGAGATGCCGGCCTCCTCCCACCCCTCTCACGGCACGATGGCTTCCCTTGTAGTACATGGACATGAGCAGAACCCTCGGGAGCCTGATGAACATCAAGGAAATGTCAGGCCACGTGTCCATGAGACACCTCTCCGCCAAGGAGAGGGAGAAAGTTCACCACCTCCGACAGAGGGACCTGGACCTGGTGTTTGATAAGATCACCCAGCTCAAGATGCGGCTGCAGAGGAAGGAGGAGCTCTTGAAAAGCTATGAGCAGGACATGGAACAGCTCAGGTACTGCTGCATGCCCGCCGGAAGGCCAGCTCCTCCCCCAGGCCCACCCGAGCTGGGACAGGAGGCCTGAGTGCGGGTACTCTGACCAGGGAGGCCCAGTGGGGGCGAGTCTGTCCTTGTCACGACCTTGATCATGACTTTGATCGTGGGCTTTGGGGGTTCTATCACCGCCCCCCAAATCACAGATTCCCCACCTAGGGAAGCTAGAAGGGTCATTTGATGCTGCCCACACCCAGCTGATGAGTTGGGGGGTGGAAAGGGAGGGGTCCCTACAAATGGCTGTCACAGTCTCCTGCTTGTAATGGAACCCCATCACACACATCCCTTCCCCCGCTTGGTGGAAGGGTCTGGAGAGGCATGGACAGGACCCTGATGGTGGCAGGGACGGTGAGGGAAAAGTGGACACCATCTCTCCATGCACCTAGACAGAGCAAAACGTCCACCCAGACGTACCAGTCACAGCTGGCAAAGCTGGAGGACGACGTCTACAGAGAGGCTGAGGAGAAGGCGCTACTGAAGGAGGCCCTGGAGCGTACGGAGCACCAGCTGAGCCAGGAGAAGAGGCTCAACAGGGTCCTGAAGCAGCAGAAGGTGAGAGGCCTCCACAGGGGGCAGAGCCTCCAAGGCCACCCCTCAGATCTCTTACACATGGCCGATGGGGTGGGGTGGGGTGAGGGGGATGCAGAATTAGCCAGCAGCGCTGAGCACATTCACTGACTCCAAGTAAGCCAGGACAGAGCTTTATCCACAGACAGACCGCGGTCTGCATCGGAGCTCTACCACTTACTGTGTGACAGTAGGCAGGTTTCTCAATCTCTCTGACACTCTGTGCTCATCCAAACAATTGTCATTATTTGTACTGGTCTCATTCCATTGAGGTTACGCGGATGAAGAGGTTCTGTGAGGACAGAGATCTGAGTGCCTACAGTGTAGTGGATAATGAATGAATTGCTGGTGGATGGACAGGCAGACAGATGGACTGGTGGCTACTTAGGCAGGTGGGTGGATGTGGAACTGGAGAGATGGAGTCTGGACTGGTGAACTGACAGGTGGATGGGGTCTCTGAAGACAGTATCTCCTTGATCATCACAGGCAGTAGAGAGCATTCATTTAATGGGATGAAGGAGCCTGAGCAGTGTGACCCAGGCCGACACCCAGGTCCTCACCAAGCCATAAGCCCAGTGGAATCACAAACCAGAGCTACAGTTCACCCGGCAGGGCTAAGTAAGGAGCCACCGAGGAAACAGGCTGAGAAGCCAGCTGCCTGACATGGAGCTGTCAATCACACTGTACAGTACAAGTCAGCCAGTCAGTGTGCCCTTATGCTAGTCTCTTCACCACTCTGAGCCCTGGTCCTTCATCAGCGAACAGGAGCCATCTGCCCCTGCCTCACAGGGTCATCGTGAGGATGAAAGACAACACAGGTGGCCTCACTGTTTGCCTTCTCACTGTCTGACCCAGAGCTGAGAGGTTTTGAATATGAGGGGCTGTCTCTTAGATACCCGGCCTGGCAGCACTCAGCCCCTCTGTGCAGCTGGTTGCTTGCACCCGTGTTTTCTGGGGTGAGTTCTCCAGCAGCCTGAGAGCCCTGGGCCTGCAGCCTGCTGGCCAAGAAGCTTCCTTGTCATCTTTGCAGTTTGCCCATCCACTCCTGCACTCCAAGCATATGGCTTTGGGCCCACCCTGAGCTGGGCACTGGAACAGTGAGGTCTCTGTAGAGCCAGAAGTGCCCTTACCTTTAACTCCTGCTAACAGAGAGCAGGTCTTGAGGCTGCCATCAAGTGAAGTAACCACAGCCGTGCATCTGCAGGCCAGGCCCAAGGCTCCTTTGTGCTCTGCCAGTGTGGCCAGGTCACCAAAGCTGTGATTATCCCTGCCTGGTTATAACAGCAATGAGGAAACCCAGCCCCAGAAGGAAGAGACTTGCCTACGCTCTCAGAGTAGCTGGTAAATGGGCTGGACATGACTCTAGCTCTCTCTAACCCTGGGCTCTGGGCCCTGGACTCTGGGCTCTGGGCTCTGGGCTGGCCACCAGTGACCCCCTTGTAATTGTTAGCTTTGACTTTGGAGCTGTGTGTGTGTGTGCTCACATGTGTGTGCACGTGTATGCATGTACATGAGTGTTTGAATTTACATGATTGTATGCATGAAGACTTGCGTGCACATGACTGGCAGGCACAAGTGTGCTTATACCTGTATGTGCATGAATGTTTACATGTGTGTGCTTGCATGCGTGCAGCCATTAGTGTACGGGTGTCTGCTTACATGTGCATGTGTGTGCCTATTCACACATATATACGTCTGCAGGTATGTGAGTGTGCATGAGTATTTGCACGGGTATGACTGCATATGCATGCATTTACATGTATGTGTAGGACTGTGTGTGCACACATGCACATGCATGACCATGGTCAGCCTGAGCTCTGAGGGGGCCAGGCCCCAGGCAAGGCTGCCCTCCCCATCCAGGAAGCCTGCTCAGGGAAGCTCCTCACAGAGCCCCACCGTGTCCTGAAGCCTTCCAGGCAGCAGGCTCCCCCGCTTGCAGCCCTACGAAGCCAAGTGACTGCCCTACTCTGAGCTAAACATCACAGCCCTCATTGGGCATGTGGCATGGGGCCACCTCAGGCAGAGGACGGTGTCCTTTCATGCTGAGCCATGCCAAGGAAGCTGGCTACATGTCAGCTGACTGGTCTTTGTTGAGCCCTCAGAGAGGCTGCTTATCCCAGAGATGCCCCGAGGGCTGACAGCACAGGACTCCAAGCAGAAACACCAAAACACAGAACAGGCAGCTGAGGCCCCACCCCCAGCCAAGCCCATTGTGGAGGAGGACCGAGATGCAGGGAAACCTGAGGATTTGCATAATCTGTGTCTCATGCATTATTCATGAGTTACCTCATTCATACACAACACAGAGGCCGTGGGGCCTGTGGGCACAACTTCTCCTTCATGGCAAGAGATCTGAAATGGCCCAGCTAAGCCCGCTGCAGGGCCCCCCAAAGAGCTAGGGCCCAAACCTGCGCATTCCTGGGGCTTGCAGTATAGGGAGGGCTAGGAACTGAGGGAGCGTCATGCACTGAGGGTGTCACTCACTCAGCTTCAGAGGCCTCGGGGATCAGAGGCTCCAAGGAGAGAAACTGAGCAGCAATGATAGGGTTCTATCCAGGCCTCTACACCCCCAGCCCCTGTGCAACCACATTTCATCCCTACCGCTGCCATTGCTCTCTGGTCTTCATTCCAAAGTGCACAGTACTATGTTGCTAACAAGTTGTCACGAGGGAAAAAAAAATATTCTTGCTTGATTCTGTACACAGCTGTCCTAAAGCCTTTATTTTCTTTTTGATCTTCTTTTCTTCCGTGTGTGTGTGTGTGTGTGTGTGTGTGTGTGTGCACACGCACACGCGTGTGTGCACATAAGTACTCAGGCTTGAACTCGGCCTGAGAGCTCTCCCATAGCTTTTTTGCTCAAGGCTAGTTCTCAACCACTTCAGCCACCGCTCCACTTCCAGCTTTTTGCTGGTTCATTGGAGATAAAAAGTCTCAGGGAAGCTGGGCACCAGTGTTTCACACCTGTAATCCTAGCTACTCAGGAGGCTGAGATCTGAGGATCCTGATTCAAAGCCAGACTGGGCAGAAAAACCCATGAAACTCTTTTTTTGGGGAGACAGGGGTCCGGTCGTGGAGCCTGAACTCTGGGCCTAGGCACTGTCCCTCAGCTCTTCAGCTCACAGTGAGTGCTCTACCACTTGAGCCACAGCGCCACTTCCAGCTTTTTTCTTTTTGCTTATGTGGTGCTGAGGAATTGAACCCAGGGCCTCAGGCATGCAAGGCAAGTGCTCTACCACTGAGCCACCTTCTCAGCCCACCATGAAACTCTTATCTCCAATACACCACCAGAAAACCAGAAGTGGCACTGTGGCTCAAGTGGTAGAGCACTCACTGTGAGCTGAAGAGCTCAGGGACAGCGCCCAGGCCTAGGGTTCAAGCCCCAGGACAAAAAAAAAAAAGTCTCATGGACTTTCCTGCCTGGGCTGGCTTTGAATTGCTATGCTCAGATCTCAGCTTCCTGAGTAGCTAGGATTACAGGTGTGAACCACCAGCGCCTGGCTTGGTATTTTCATTTTTGTAAAAAAAAAAAGGAAGTTAAGGAAGCTAGAACTCTTTTTAAGTTTTTTAAGTTTTACCAGTAATATTTTCTCATGGAGCTTTTAGTTTTTCCCATGTCTCCTGTGGAAAATGTTGTCACTTATTCTTTTAAAAAGATTGGGAAAAATAAATAAATAAAAAGATTGGATGGGCTGGGAAGGTGGCTCAGTGGTAGAGTGCTTGCCTTGCATGCATGAGACCCTGGATTCAATTCCTCAGCACCACATAAACAAAAAGAAAAAAGCCAGAAGTGGTGCTGTGGCTCAAGTGGTAGAGCGTTAGCCTTGAGCTGAAGAGCTGTGGGACAGCGCCCAGGCCCAGAGTTCAGGCCTCACAACCGGACCCCCCCCCCAAAAAAAAGAGAGATTGGTTAATCCTGGGGGAATCAGAGCCACCCTCCCCTACAGGCGCGCGCGCGCACACACACACACACACACACACACACACACACACACACAATCTATCAGAATCAAAGTCCTATTTCCATACTGATACTTTTGGCTGCATAAAAACTGTCGTACCAACTTCAGTGGAAACCTGGAGACTGATCATGCGCAGAGATCCTCCTGGCCCTGGACCTCCTAACCCCAGTGCCCATGTAACCCAGTCCCCAGTGACCAGCCCCATCCATCTTCTTGCTACATCACCAATCATGGTGACTGCATCTCAGAATTCAGAGGAGGCCTTTGGAGCAGAATGAGAAGCCAGTGAATGGCTTTTACCTCCGCTGCTCAGGTTTCTCAACAACAGAAGTGGCCACAACAAGACTTTCTGTGGGGCAGCCAAGGGGCCCCACGCAGGTTGGGCCTGGCACCTGGTGCACACTGTTAGTCCTTTACTCTGGGGAGAGAAAAGCATCCCTACATGGGTGTGGAGGAAGGGGTCCTCTCTTTTTCAGAACTGCTCACCAGCTGATGAGCCCAACAAACCCTGAGACTTTTCCCCCAGTCCTCCTAAAGCTGGAAACCCCTTTGTAAATCTCTTTTCCTATTTGGTGAAACCACTGGGGTGGTGGCCAAGAAAGAGCCGATGCTTTTTGTAAATGGACTCGGATGGGAATTCTCAATAGGAAGTATTTAAATGTGCAGGGGCTTCCCTTTCTCAGGAGGGGATGTGGGAGAATTCTGCTTCCTGTCCATCCAGAGTCCAGCCAAGCCAGTTGAAGCCAGCGGGCTTAGCCACAGCTTTGCCAGGGAGTTGCAGCCAGGCCAGAGCCCCCAAGCTTCCCCACTCCTTAACTCCTTAGCTTATGTGCCTCCTTCTTCAAGATGACAGTAAATGTCCTGTCTAAGAGCTGGGTCCAAAAACTCTGCACAAATGGGACCCTCCATGCAAGCGCTCAGCCAGCACCCAACACACCCAGCTCAGGATTGTCCAGATTTTCTTGGGACCAAGGATTCCCTAGATCTTGTTTTCCTGCTGCCACTTTGTGCATTTGACCAAATAGAAATGGGTAAACGTTGAAGAGGGTGGGAGCGTTATGAGGGGCTCAGAAATGCTGTCCTCCAGCACCCACAATGGAGAAGTACAATGTGGGGGGGGCAGCCTATGTCCAGAAGGCATTAAAGAAATGAGGCCTCACCCAACCACCCCTTCTTCTGCAAGCAGAGGCCATGGCTCCCAGCACCTCCCAGAAGCCCCTGTGGTTTGCAGTTGGGCCCTGTTAGGGACCTGAGAGGATGAGGAACTAAATGCTCTCTTGTTGCTCACCTGGTATTTTCACTCAGGGACGTTTAGAGGATCGTGAGCAGAAAAATTCAAAAGACTCCACACCTTGCAACTGTCCCTTCAAAGAAAGCGAGAGGCAGGTATGGAGAGGCATTCGGAGCAGGGAGCCAGAAACAAAGTAGAGACAGTCTTTGCCGAGGGTAAGAGCCCCTGGAGTGTGACCACCAATCAGCGCTGCCGCCTGGACACCCGCACACAGCCCCTCCTCCCTCTTCCCTCCCTCCTTTCCCAGCATCAGCCCCCCCCCCCACACACCTGCCTGCAATTTGAACCAATGGCCTAAGAGACAAGCAAGTGTCCAGCCTGGAATCTTAGACACTGAATGATTTGGGGACTTGGAGACAACGTCATGAGGGAATGATTAAAAAGGAGTAGGGGACCCCAGGACCCCCCACTGGCATGAATCAGGAGGGGAGATGGGTACAAAATGGAGCCCAGAAGGGCGTTGAAAATCCCAACTGTATTAACCTACCAATGGGAACCCTTACTGGACTCTGAGCTTCCTGGCAGCCAATGGGAAATGGAGAAGCAACTTGGTTCCCAGTTCATAGAACCCATATAGTACAATGTACGGTATTGTATAATATGGCCCCCAGGGTCGCCCTAACAGGGACATCGCGTGACGTGATGAGCCACCTAAGGGTAGCCTTGGAGCAGAAGCAGGATCATGTGAGCCAGGCCACATCTGCAGACAGCTGTTGAGACAGTCTGATGTCACCACATCCCATAAGACCCTGCTGGTGACAGTAGGTCTGAGGGTGTCCAGGCCCTGCTCTGCAGTGCTCAGCTGTTCACTGGGTTCAATCCAGGGCCTGGAGTTGGGAGCTGTGATTGAACCAGAGCTCCCTGGGTCCAGAATGGGGGTGGGGGGGTTAACCTGGCTAAGGGAGAGAGGGAGGAGAAAGAAGAGGAGGAGTTGGGCTTGAGATTTAGCTCCATGGTAGAGTGCTTGAGTAGCGAGCACAAGCCCTGGGTTTCATCCCCAGCAGAGGGGGAAAACAAGGAAAGTTAAGCCGGGAACGGGTGGCTCATGCTTGTAATCCTAGCTACTTAGGAGGCCGAGATCTGAGGCTCATAGTTCAAAGCCAGCCCGGGCAGGAAAATCTGTGAGACTCTTCACTTAACTACCAGAAAACTGGAAGTGGCGCTGTGTGTGGCCCAAAGTGGTGGAGTGCTAGCCTTGAGCAAAAAGAGCTCAGGGATAGTGACCAGGCCCTGAGTTCAAGCCCCATGACTGACACAAGCACACACAAAAAAAGGTTTCAATCCACCACTTTGTAATATCTGGGACTCTGGGTCTTCTGAGCCCGAGCCCTCTAAACTAGGTTGTAATCAATATTGCATGACTCAAAGCCTTCTAAGCAGAAAACACTTTCAGGGTAACTGTCAGTTAAACCCAGGCCAGAAGCCTTTGGGAGGCTGGAAAGCTGGCAAGAGCCAACCCCAGCCCATAGACAGCCCGGCTGTCTTCCCCCTCAGATCTAGGGCAAGTCTAGTAGGGCTGACACATTCAGAGAGAAAAGATAAAGCAGGGGACTCAGTTACATTGGAATTTCACAGGTTTATTTTGTGGGTTTTTTTGTTTATTTTTGGTCGGTCGTGGGTCTTGAACTCTGGGCACTGTCCCTGAACTCTTCAGCTCAAGGCTCTACCATTTGAGCCACAGTGCCACTTCTGGCCTTTTCTGTTTATGTGATGCTGAGGAATTGAATCCGTGGCCTCATGCATGCAAGGCAAGCACTCTACTGCTGAGCCACCTTCCCAGCCCCACAGGTTTATTTTTATTACCCCTGAAGGGGTTGTACTAGGCCTGGAACCCAGGGCCCTCCACATGCTAGGCAGGCACCAAACCACTGGGCTCCACCTCTGACTCTTGAGTGTCAGATAAAGCAGTGGTTAAATAAGTTTAATTTCAGATAAACAAGCTACATACTAAATGTTGTATGGAACATGCTTATATACCTGCATACACACATACCTATATATGTATATACATGGGCATATGTGTATATATACACACATATGCATGTGTATACAGTGTGTGTACATGTATGTATGTATATGCATGTGTATCTGCCCATATACACATGTGTGTCTGCACATGTGCGGGTATGTATGCCTGCATGTGTATCTGCTTTCATTCTGAAGTGTGAATTAACTGGGCATGGGCCCCCTGTGTTTTCTCCAGCAACCCTTTGCACCAGCTGGGTGCCAAGGTGGGAGGCTCTGAGGCTGCTGGGGTCAAACGGCAGCGGCAGCATTCCCCCGCCCTGCCCCGCCCCGCCCCACAATTGCTCCATTTGGCTCACGGGATGATTTGGGGGTGCAGGTGAGGGTGGGGTTTCCTTCTTAAGGAACATCTCAAAATAGGGCATTTCCACAGACTAGACTGGATGTCTGGCTCCTCTGAAAAGCACTGGTGATGGGGACCCTAGCCCACCATCCACAAGCCACCAAGTCCCAGGCCTGTTAGAAGGACGTGTCCCCATTTCACCCCCCTTCTCCAGCCTCCTGGGCCAGGACTACCAGGTTGGTGGCCCTGTGGGGAGCTCCAAGCTGTGTGAGCAGATCCGCTTCCCCGTGACCTGCACACCCACGGCCCCATCCGACGCAGCGCACAGCGCTGTCCCCAGCTCCTCTGGAGGCCCAGGGTCTCGAGGACCCTGAGGTGAGCAAATGCTATCGCATGCAGGGAAACAGCATGCCACGGGCTGGGGGTGATGGAGACTTCCAAACAGGGTGTCTTCACAGCTGCATCATGGGGACACTTAAGTGGGGAACATCCCCCCACCGCCCCATGATACCTGCAGCCTCTGTCCCCTGCCCTGGGAAGCTGTGCTACCAATGGAAAGAGATTTGTCATCCAAGTAGAGAATCATGTCCCACAGAGGAGTCTCAGCCTCGTCTTAGCTGGAATCTAGAGAACTCTTTAAGAATCTGGGCAGGATGGTGGGTTCAGAGACCTTCAAAGCTGTGCACTCATAAGCAGGCCTGCCCTGGCCCCTCTCTCCACAATGCCAAACCAGCAGCACTAGAAAGTTGAGTCTGTTTTGCTTTAGTGCAAAAAAGGCAGAGAAGAGCCAGGTGCTGGTGGCTCATGCCTGTAATCCAAGCTACTCTGGAGCTGAGATCTGAGGATTGTAGTTCAGCGCCAGCTGATTGTAGTTCAGGCAGGAGTCCATGAGACGCTTTTCTCCATTTAACCAGCACAAAAACCTAGAAGCAGAGGTGTGACTCGAGTGGTAGAGAGCCAGCCTTGAGGGAAAATGTACCCAGACCCAGAGTTCAAGCCCCAAGACTGGCACAAAGAGAAAAGGCAGAGCTGGGCACCTGTGGCTCATGCCTGTAATCCTAGCTACTCAGGAGGCTGAGATCTGAGGATCATGGTTCAACGCCAGCCCGGGCAGGAAAATCTGTGAGACTCTTATCTCCAGTTAACCACCAGAAAACCAGAAGTGACGCTGTGGTTCAAGTGGTAGAGCGCTTGCCTGGAACTGAAGAGCTGAGGGACAGCACCCAGGCCCAGAGTTCAAGACCCACAACCAAAAAAAAAAAAAAAGAAAAGAAAAAAAGAAAAGACAAAGAGGATGAACATGAAATAAATGTGTCAATATTCTTTCTGTATTAAAGAGATACACATTTGTAGAGATGGTGAAGAACAAGATGCAGAACTCGAACTTCCAGGTGAGCCGAGAGAAGGGGGAGACCAGGAAACCAATTGACCCAATCCCATGTCTGCTAGAGACTAACCATGCAGCTCACTGAACCTCCTCCATGCACTGTGACGCTCAGAGACTCATTTGTCCCTGGCCACACAGCAAAGGCGGACTCAGTGAGACCAGTACAGAGCTGACAGCAGGCAAGTGTCATCAAGTCCCAGGCCATAAGCCTGCTACCATTCAGGAGGGATTTCTCTGGAGTTTTAAGGACGCATGTTCTTTTTTAGAACTAAGCATCGAGAGTACAGGATTTTATTTGGGGAGGGGGGGATGTGCATGTATGTGCACACAGGCACGCATGCCGGTACCGAGGCTTGAACTCGGAGCTTTACGCTAGTGTTTGGCCACCCCTCCACTTCCCAGACTAAGAGATTTTCTTAAGGAAGCTGAACTGCTGCCCTTCATAATCCAGTTACCCCAGCCCACTCCCACCTTGCAGAAAGCAGAAATGAGCTCGTGCAAACTTGGGGGCTATACACATGTCCATTGCACAGGAGCTTGGGGATTCCAAGACAACAGAATCATCCTTGGAGAAGCCAGATAAAATGTTTTAGAAAGCAGAAACTTTCTAGCCAGGCGCTGGTACTTACTCCTGTAATCCCAGCTACTCTGAAAGCTGAGATCTGGGAATTGAGGTTCAAAGCCAGCCTGGACAAGAAAGTCCATAAGACTCTTATCGCTAATTAACCAGCAACAAAAGCTAGAAATGGAACTGTGGTTCAAGTGGTAGAACACCAATCTTGAGAAAAAAAAAAAAAAAAAGCCAAACAAAAGTTCAAGGCTCTGAGTTTGAGCATCAGTACTTGAATAAGGGGGAAAAGGCAGGAGCCGGGGGGGGGGGGGGGGGGGAGGGAGAGCAAAGGAAGGGAGGGAGGGAGGGAGGGAGGAAGCAAAAGCTCCTCCTCAGCTGACACCCATGTCCTTAGACATGTAGACATGTTGGGTACTGCTCAGAGCAGGGTGTTGGGACTGAGGGCCCCCAAGATCTGTAACCTTGGCCACTGTGCAAGGTAGGACTGAGGGAGGCTGGTGGCTCACTCCTTCACTCACACAGAAGAGACCAGAGCAGACAATGAATGGTCCCTGCAGCTGGGTGTTGGCAGAGGGCTGCTGCAGAGAAAGATGACTGAGGAGATGGCAGCATGGGCTCCAGATGTTGTCTGGATGTTGTGCTTCTCGAAGAGACAAAACCAGGGCTTTGAGGTGTGCGATCAAGGTGCACAAAAAGGTTTTCTCTATGCTCGTGGCCAAGTACAGGGTCCCCTCTCTATGGTGTGGGGTCCTCATGACCTTGGAAGAGATGGGCCATGGAGAATCAGCCCCCTCGGTCCAGGCCAGGCATGAAGGTGGCACGCCTCTCCAGCGACCTCAGTGACTCTTCTTAAAGCCCTAGGCCTTAAAAATGCCATTGGTCTTGTGTTTGGCTTTTTCATTGTAGTTAAGTCTTGTACAATTGCTGTGGGTTGTATGCTAAAGACGGCAAGTTAGGGCTGGGAATGTGGCTTAGTGGTAGAGTGCTATCCTTGAGCAAAAGAAGCTCAGGGACAGTGCCTAAGCCCTGAGTTCAAGCCCCAGGACTTGCGCACATGCACACACACACACACACAATATGGCAATCTAGTTTCTAGTCTTAAAGATAATCTCCTAGAGATTTATTGGATAGCTCATCTAGGCAGGCACTGAGGAGAGAAAAGTGACCAAAAGAGGGCCATCCTGGCCTCAGGGCCTTCAGCAGACCTGTGCTGAAAGCCTGGGATGTGGCAGGTGCTGGCCAGGGTGAGGTCAATCATGTATTGGGAGGAAGGGCGGGGCCAGGATGCCACCCCAAGCGCAAGCAGTGACTCTATGGTTGGGTTTTTTTTTTTTTTTTTTGGTTTTTTGTTTTTTGGGGGTTTTTTTGGTCAGTTGTGGGTTTGAACTCTGGGCCTGGGTGCTATCCCTGAGCTCTTTAGCTCAAGGCAAGTGCTCTGCCATTGAGCCACAGCACCACTTCCTGTTTTCTGGTGGTTAATTAGAGATAAGAGTCCCACGGACTTTCCTGCCCGGGCTGGCTTTGAACCATAATCCTCAGATCTCAACCTCCTGAGTAGCTAGGATTACAGGCGCGAGCCACTGGCACCCGTTTTGGCTCTATGTATAAAGCATAGAGAGATGATAGACAGATTACAGATAGACAATGTGGTATGTATACATATTGCACATTCGTGACTTGAAAATCCAAAATGCTCCAAATCAACAACTTTCTGGTGTCCATACCATGAAACTTTGATTCATGGGCAAAACCAGTAAAACTTTTACATTAAAATGGAACTTAGGCCAAGTGCCAGTGGCTCATGCCTGTAATCCTAGCTACTCAGGAGGCTGAGATCTGAGGATCATGGTTCAAAGCCAGCTCGGGGCAGGAAAGTCTGTGAGACTCTTATCTCCAATAAACCATCAGAAAACCAGAAGTGGCTCTGTGGCTGAAGTGGTAGAGTGCTCGCCTTGAGCTGAAGAACTGAGGGACAGAGCCCAGGCCCAGAGTTCAAGTTCCACAATGGACAAAGAAGAAAATGGAATTTAGGCTACAGGCATAAGGCATATATAAAACACAAAGGAATTTTATGTACAGACTTGGGCCCCTCCCATGGTATCTCAGAGAGAGAGAGAGAGAGAGATCTCATTTTATATATATGCTAATATCTCAAACGCAGAGAAAATCTTAAAATCTGAAACACTCTGGTCCCAAACATTGTAAGGGTTACTCAACTTGTGTGCACACATGCATGCACACACATGCAGTTACACACTGCATACTTATACAGTCACTTGCATACACCCATGTGCCTGCATGCACACACAAGTATATCTGTACAGTTGCCTTTGTGCACACTTATATACACACAATTACATGTATGCATGCCTGCGTGCACATGTGCCTACATGCATGCACAAATACACACATATACAAATCTGAAATGTTACGTTTATAGAAATGGAGAGGATTAAGAAAAGAAAAAGAAAAACCCAGGCAGGGAAGTCTGTGAGACTCTTATCTCCAATTAACCAGAAAAAAACTGGAAGTGGCACTGTAGATCAAAGTGGTAGAGCGCTAGCCTTGAGAGGAAGAGCTCAGGGACAACACCCAGACTCTTCAACAAAAAAAAAAGAAAGAAAAAATGAGGACATACTACCCCTGCCTTCCTGGCCTAGTCTTAGAAGTAAATACAAAACCTAATAATTACTTTGGGCAGAGCTCAGAGGGTAGAGGACAAAGGTCCACAGGCAGAGTCCCAGAATTTACCTCCTGAGGCCCCTCCCAGTCCAGAGCCCAGAGCCCTCTGGAGGAAGGTGTATCTCATGTAGGAGTGGGCTGGGACCTGCCACTGCCGGACACACCTGGGTATCACCATGGAAACAACTGGCCTCTGTCCCTTAAGGTGTGGCTTTGGGGCAACCCAACCCTCCCTGCCAACACTGGCAGGTTCACACCCCTCAGCCATGGCTTCTTCCTGGGTCAGTCACCTGACTGCCTTCTGCTGTCCTGGGCTTCTATTTTTTCAGCAACTTTCTAGCTCCTGCCCTGCACCAAGGCAATGGTTTCTGGGAATCTTCACAAGCGGCAACTTCACTAACACATCAAACAGCAGGAAGGAAAGGCCATGTGGAGGGGAGGTTTGGGCTGCTGGCTGTGTTCTTTCTCGCCAGGCATTTGGACCATATTTATTTAGTGACTGCAGTGATCTGAGCCTCCCCTCTCTCACCCCAAAACAGTGAACAAAGCAGGCTCTCAACACACATTCAAGCCAGAGGAACTGTGTGGCTCACACCTGTAATTCTACCTGCTCAGGAGGCTGCAATCTGAGGATCACAGTTCAAAGCCATCCCAAGGAAGACAAATCTAATAAACTCTTATCTCCAGTGAGCCAGCAGAAAGCTGCAAATGGAGGAGTGTGGTTCAAATAGCAGAGTGCCAGCCTTGAGTGAAAAAGCCAAGCAAAAGCACAAGGCCCTGGGGCTGGGAAGGTGGCTCAGTGGTAGAGCGCTTGCCTTGCATGCCTGAGGCCCTCGGTTCGATTCCCCAGCACCACATAAGCAAAAAGAAAAAAAGCTGGAAGTGGCACTATGGCTCTAGTGGTAGAGTGCTAGCCTTGAGCTGAAGAGCTGAGGGACAGTGCCCAGGCCCAGAGTTCAGGCATCATGACTGGACCAAAAAAAAAAAAAAAGCACAAGGCTCTGAATTCAAGCTACACACATGCACACACACAGACACACACAGACACACACACACTCAGATCTATGAGCAAGAGGGAGATGATTCACTGTGATCAAAGTTAAGTCTCATTAATGTTTGGGGTGTGCCTTCTTAGGTAGAGAGATGTTAAGTTCCCTTTGAACAACATCATGTTTCATGGTTTTCAAAACAGGAGCTTTGGCCAGGTGCACATTCATTGTGATAGAATTGCCCCTGTCACTGAATTGAAGGTGGTTTATGTCCTCTGTGTGTATGTATGTGTGTATGTATGTATGTATGTGTTTGTATGTGCCACATTTTATTTTGGGTACAATGCACATAACATGTTGTAACCTCACTGCAATTACAGAGTTTGTGTATTTGTCCCTCTTGCTTATTGAAGGTTGGAATCAAAAAACCCACACCAAAGATGGACCAAGAAAGAGAGATAAAGAAAGATACACCCAATATACCTGGCCAGAAACTTTTGCTCTTTAAGCCTGGTGGAAGGAACTAGAGAAAACATCACCCACCTGGTCTCTCCTGATCCTTCCATGAGTCAATCTGACTCCCATGTCAAAATACAAAGGCTCTTTCGTAGGACTTTACAGTGTCTGCTTTCTGGCATTTTGAACTTTGTGTGTTTTGGAATAAGCGAGAAAACATTTTTAAAAATACCTGTTAATCTATACGAACTCGGGTATATCAAAAAAATGTTCATAGCCCAGACTTGTACCTAGCAGTGACGATGTACTTTGTGTTTAAGTCATGTTAGACCACAGTTGAGAAAGCCCAAGACTTCATACAGGAGCCCAAGGGCACAGGCTATCTCA